CCATACCAGGTACTCCTCTTAGAGTCCTCCAGGGTCCAGTTCCTGAAGACTTCTAGCCTCAGCCCAGCTACTCTCCTGCCCGATGACGACTCCCAGGCGCCCCTCTATGACCGTTCAAATATCCTTGACACACTGAGCAATTTGAGGTCGGACTTAACCGACAGCCCCCTCCCTGCTGCAGAACATACTCTCTACACTGACAGCAGCAGCTTCATCCGAGAAGGGGTCCGATATGCCGGGGCTGCAGTAGTCTCCCAAGACACAGTCATCTGGGCTCAAGCACTAGGACATGGGACCTCTGCTCAGAGGGCTGAACTAATCGCCCTGACACAGGCCCTCCAATGGGCACGGGAATAATCGGTAAACATTTATACCAAACATTTATGCCTTTGCCACGGCCCATGTCCATGGAGCCCTATACCAGGAGCGAGGACTCTTAACTTCAGGGGGAAAACAGATCAAAAACAGGGAAGAGATTCTTGCCCTCCTAGAAGCCATCTGGTTGCCGACCAAGATAGCCATCATCCACTGTCGAGGCCACCAACACTCTGATACCCCAGAAACAAAAGGGAATGCCCTCGCGGACCAGGCTGCTAAGGAAGCCACCCTAAGACCAGTGGGGCCACTTGAAATCCTCCTGGTCATCCCAGGAAAAACCTTGCCCAAGACGCCAACCTATATCCAAGAAGAGGAAGAACTAGGGCAAAAACTAAACTCCACTCGAGGGCCGTAAGGATGGAAGATCCTTCAGGACAGGGGAAATCCTCCTACCTGAGATTCTAGGATGGGAATTAATATCCCAACTCCACCAACGAACGCACCTGGGGAAGACCAAACTATCCAGCTTAATCGCTCGGGATTTCTACATCTTGAACCTCAGCAAATGGGTAGAATCTGAGGTAAGGCGGTGCTCCACCTGTGCCCAGGTAAATTCTCACCCCTGGGGGGCAAGGGAACTTGGAACCAGGGAAAGGGGAAAGGTGCCAGGCGATCACTGGGAAATTGACTTCACTGAAGTAGCCCCCAGACAGTACGGATATAAATACCTGCTTGTCTTCATAGATACTTATTCCAGATGGACTGAGGCCTTTCCTACCAGGACTGAAACCGCGGCCATGGTCACCCGGATACTCCTCTCTGAGATAGTTAACCGATTTGGCCTCCCCATAATCCTGGGGTCTGACAATGGCCCAGAATTCATTGCCCAGACCATCCAAATATTAACCAAGGCACTAGGGATTACTTGGAAATTACACTGTATATATAGGCCACAGAGTTCAGGACAGGTAGAAAGGATGAATAGGACCTTAAAGGAAACAGTAACTAAACTACATCTAGAGACGGGCGAAAACTGGGTAAGGCTCCTTCCTTTTGCCCTACTCTGTGTATGCTGTACCCCATACCGCAAGGGTCTCACCCCATTCGAGATCATGTTCGGTCGACCCCCTCCTATTCTACCAAAGATTGGAGACGAGATTCTAGCCAGCCCTGGTAATCATAACCTCCTTAGCTCCTTACAGGCAATACAGAAGCTGAAGGAAAAGACTCGGCAACTAATCGAGGACGCCATGCCCCGCCCAGAAACTCCCCCCACGCTGCCTCAGGACCTGAGCCTGGGTGACTGGGTCTGGATCAAAAAGCATCAGCCCGCCTCCTTGGAACCTCACTGGACCAGCCCCTTCCCGACCATCTTGAGGACCCCTACAGCTCTTAGGGTAGCGGGACAAAAGTTTTGGATTCATCATGCTCAGGTAAAGAAGGCACACCCTGAGCAGATACCTGAACAATGGACCCTACAGCAGACCAAGGACCCCCTCAAGGTAAAGCTCTCCAGGGCCTCCTCTTAGCCTCCCTTTTGCTCCTGACCACTGGTAAGACACCTACACAATTCAGGTGGACACTTATCCACACCCAGGACAGGACCCTTGTGCCCTTTTGGGGCCCGACTTATTGGTTGAGTCGGACCTCAAAGTTGCAGCCGACTCCGTCTCCGGAGCCGTGTGGGGCATGGTTGGCTCGCGAACACCAGGCTTATCAGGCACATCCTACGGTTGCGGGACCCTCTCCCATGAAAGAGGACTCTGGCATGCTCAGCATTACCTGTGCCTGGACAGAGGGAAGGCCCACTGCGGCTCCCATTCTCACTTCTGTGCTCAATGGGGCTGCGAAACTTGGGCCCTCTGGGTCGAGCACCCCAGGGGGGACCCCCACATCCACTTCTTTCACCTCACCTCCCCACGACCTGAAACCTGTCAAAACCCCGGGTCCTGCAAACCCATCAGGCTCACAACAAAAATGATTACAGACCCTACTTGGCTTACAGGAAAGACACGGGGACTCAGACTCTATGTCTCCAGACGGGATCCTGGGACCACCTTCACAATCCAAAAGTTCCTAATCAGGACCCTGTCTAGGCCTATAGGTCCCAATCCAGTTCTCAACCGCCTGTTATCTAGGCTGACCCCTCCTCCTGGACCTCCCCTCACAGGGACACCTCTGACCCCTCCATACAGGGTCACCAGCCACCCGCGGATACGACCCACACAGAGATTGAGACCAGAGAACCCTCTCCTTGAAACCCTTGATGCAGTTTTTGCTTTTGCAAACAAAACCAACCCTAACCAAACCCGAGACTGTTGGTCCTGCTTAAACCCCTCACCTCCACACTACATAGGCATCGGCACCAACTGGACGATAGGAGAAACAACATACTCCATCAGAAACTGGACCCTCAGCGAGGCTCAGAAGGATGGCTCATGTCACGAGGCAATGGGCCCCCGCCTCACACTAGAGGACCCAGAAGAACAAGGAACATGTTTTCTCCTCGGTAGCGATAACTTCCAGTCCTCCCCTTATGCAAGTTCTTGTGGAGACACCACACCTCTACCCACTCCTGACTCTTCCTCCTCACAGGGAACTCGGGTACTAATTGCACCCTCTGGGACCTGGTTCGCTTGCACTTCGAGACTGACACCCTGCATTTTCCCAGATAGAGAAGATGGACATGTATTCTAGCTCACATCATTCCACAGGTCTATTTCTTCTCTGGGGACGCAGGAACAGAACATCTCGAATTCACCAATGTTGGACACCACCTCTCTAAAAGGGCACCAATTCTGACTCCCCTTCTAGTTGGTCTAGGCATAGTGGGATGGACAGCAGTCGGGTTGGCAGCTCTCCTGAAAGGGCATCGTGACCTAGGTAAACTGTCCACCCAGATATTTTCTTTTTTTTTTTTCCTCACCCGAGGACATTTTTCGATATTTTGTTCAGATAGAGTGAGAGGGAGAGAGAGGGAGAAACATCGACGTAAAAGCGACACATCAAGTGGTTGACACCCACACGACCCAACCAGGGCTGGGGACAAACTGCAACCAAGGTACGTGCCCTTAGTGGGAACCGAACCCGGGTCTCTCCGGACCGCAGGCCGACGCTCTAACCGCTGAGCCAAACCGGCCAGGGCCTGTCCACCCAGATAACCCAAAACTTGTCTGACCTCGAGGATCAGATATCCCATCTAGAAACTGCCCTTGATTCCCTCGCCGAGGTAGTACTGCAGAACAGAAGAGGGTTAGATTTACTCTTCTTAAAACAGGGGAGCCTCTGCTTAGCCCTAGGGGAGACATGCTGCTTTTATGTCAGTCATTCTGGTATTATTCAGGAGAGCCTAAATCTAGTTAAGAGACGACTATAGGAACGGGAGAAAGCCCAATCAGCCTTCACTAATTGGTATGAGAATTTATTCAACTGGTCCCCTTGGCTCAGTACCCTCATGGCGTTCCCTAGCTGGTCCCCTCACCCTCTTACTCCTGATGCTGACATGTGGTCCTATTATGATCAATTGCATAGTCAGTTCATCAAGGAACACATTCAGACTGTAAAGCTCATGATTCTGAGTACCTTCTATCAGAGGCTAGCCACCAAAGAAGAAGAATATTCGGATTCAAGAATTTGAATTAGTTCCAAGACCAGTAGGGAATGTGAAGGGAAAACTAGAAGACAATAAATAGGGGAACATGGGAACCTGCCATTAGAAAATCTTCCATTAGGCAGACCTTACCCCCTGAACTTTAAGAGAATAGCAGGAACTGGGCAAAGGGGAAGGAGATATACATCAGCCAGAGTTAACCCTTGTATTGTGCAGTTAACCATTGTATTGTGCAGTTAACCACTGTATTGTGCAGTTAACCATTGTATTGTGCAAATAGAACTGTTTATCCCTCAGACATAACGGCTAACCGCAAATATCCGCTTCTGTACATGCTTGCTTACTCGCAGACCCTTAGCCCAATTTCTTAACAGGGGCTATGAAAACTATATAAGCAACCCTCCCCCTGAGCTCGGGGCTGCTCCCTCCTCTGAGCAGGACCGGATAGTCGGATAGTCGCTGCGCAGCTACTAAAGCTCTCTTTGATTTGACCACATTTGGAGTCTGAGTTCGGATTCTTCTCGTGGGCTACAACAAGGTTTCCAGCTGTTGATGCCAGGATGGACCTGGCTGCAGGGAGGAGGAGGGAACTCTCTGTCCCTCCCTCCTCCTCCATCTCCCCACCCTTCCTCCCTCCTCCTCCCCCCGCCCGCTCTGTCTCCCTCTCTCTCTCCTCCGAGGCTGTGGAGTCGCCTCCCCGCCGCGAGCCCGAGCTGCGAGCGCCGGGCTCCCAGTCCCGGCTGGAAGTGAAGTGTGTGAGCGCAGGTCCTGGCGCCCTCCCCAGCGTGGCGAGCCGGGTCTGAGGCCGGGCGCAGCGGTCAGCCGCGGAGGCCCTGTTCGGGACGGAGCCGGGGCGCGGAGCCGGAGAGCCGGGCGGCGGCCGGCGCCGCGTCCGGGCGAGGACGGGGCAGGACCGCGGAAGGCAAGGAGACGGCCGCAGCAGAGGGCAGAGGGCAGAGGGCGGAGAGCGGCCTGGCCGGCGGAGGGCCCCGCCCCGGACGGCAGCCGGTCGCTGGGCGCCCACCCGGTCGGTCTTGAGTCCAGAGCGAGTCCCTGGCTAACGGCGGGGGGCGTGCCCCTCCCCGCCCCGCGCCCGATCGCTGCGTGGCGGGGCATGTGAGCGGGAAGCCCGGGCCGCCAGGCGAGGACGGCCGGAGGAACAGCAGCAGCGCGGAGCCGCGAGCCCAGAGCCCGGCGCCCGGCTGAGTAGTAAGTGCTCCCCTCCGCGCCCCCTCCCCGCCTTCGGAAGTTTGACACTCGCGCCCCCACGGTTCTGGGCACACGCCGCCTCTCTTCTCTGCGAGTTTCCGTCCTCTGCAAAGTTTTCCGAGGAAAGATGGACCCCCACCTGACCCCAGCAACGCCGGTAGAGACGGGGTCGTTGTGGAGAGGGGTGGCCGCCTGGTGAGGCCGTGGGTGGCTGCGAGTGTCTGTGCCTGTGCGCCCCGTGCGAGCCGAGCTGGCGGGGTCCCCGCGCCCGCTCCTGGCCGAGAGGCACCAAGTCTTTCACACCATCCTGTCCATTCACCCAGTTGAAGGACTTCCCAGCAGGAAGCCGAAGCGACCTGTGAGCGCCCGGAGTGGGACTCGGGCGCTGGCGCCGAGACGGCGGTCCCCCGGCCCGCCCCGCTCCGGTGTGTGGGGTGTGCGGGGCTCCAGCCAGAGCCACCCTTCCCACCCTTCCAGGTCGGTTCCCTAACCGACCAGCCGGGCGCTGCATCCTGTTTGTTTTCTGCTCCGGCTGCTCGTGTTCCACCCCCTCCCACCTCCCACCTAGTCTTCTCCTTACAACCCCCACTCCCGCCGTGGGATGTCGTAGGTGAACCTTTTCATCCCGGTTTCACCGTTAGAGCAAATAGTGCCTGGGGGTAGAGGGGTGGGGGGCGGGGGGCTAGTCGCTCTGTTCCCAGCGGTTCGCCATTGTTTTCCCACCCCGCGCGTTCCATACGTAAACACACACACACACACACACACACACACACAGCAACACGCACGCACTCACACACACACTCACGGTCTGCCTCACGCGCGCGCACACACTGCTTCACACCAACACGCACGCACAAACTGCTTCACACACCAACACGCACGCACACTCACTCCCTCTCACTCTGCCTCACGCGCGCGCGCACACACTCTGCTTCGAGTCCCGAGTCGCGCAGGGATCGCCCGCGGGGTCTCCAGCTGCAAACCCCAGCGGGGCAGCTGCTTCATGACTTCACGGGAACTGGGGCGTGGTGAGGGGGTGGCAGGGACGTGGGGGTGGCCGGAGAGTCGCGGGCGGGGCGGCGAGCTGTGCTTGGGCGGGAAGTGAATTTTGAACTTCAGCCCTGGACCTTTCCGGGAGGACCCCAGCGCACGAGCGGTGGCTCCCGCCCTGGAGGGTGGACGGCAGCTGCAAGGACTCCGGCGGCGCTCTTGGCAGCCGCCTCTGGGACAGGGGCTCGGAGGAAGCCGGGGAGTTTTCCTGGGAAGTTTGCTTTGACTCTGTGGGAATTTCCGGGCAGGGTGCCTCGGCGCTGGTGAAAGGGTCTGGCGAAAGACAGCCAGAGAAGATGCTGCTGCTCTGGGAGGGACCCTGGCGTCCACCGGGCTCCCATAGGAAGGGGTGCTCCAGATGCTGGGATTCAGCACGTTTTGGTCCTAGTTTCCCGGCAGCGTGAGCTTGGGCCAGTCCTTTCACTTTTTCTAGATTTTCCCTTATGCAAAACGGGCAGAGTTACGTACACATCTTTGAAGTTGGTATCCAATAATTAGTTAAGGGATAGCGGTTTGGAAAGCCGGAACTCCAGGAGGGTAGGGACCCCTCTAATTGGACCACTGAAAACCTCCTATAGCTTAACGGTTAAGAGCCAAGGCTCTGGAGTTAGATCCTAGGCATTGCCACTGGCAACATGATCCTGAGCAATTTAACCTTACTACTCTGCCTCATTTTGCTTCTCTGTAAAATGAGTTTAATATGAACAGTACCTACCTCATAGGGTTGTCTTGAGGATTAAAATTCTCAATAAAGTGAAGCTCATAGAACAGTGCCTGGCACATAGTAAGTGCTGGGGAAATGTTAGCTGTTCTTGTCATCATTACTAACCTGACCTTGTACAGAGCCCAGAAAAGCACTTCAGGATTGTGCTCACTTAATCAATTATAATAATTGTCCACTTCTGGGAAGGAAGAAACCTCACACTTCCCACCCTTTCCTGTTTTCAGCTTGTTAAATCCTTCCTACTCCTTCTCTAGTTCCATCTTGTTAAGTTTTGTATCTTTCTTGCTCCCTTTCCTTCCTCCCTCCTTTCCTTCGAATTTTTGTGAAAGGCACTTCATTCCCTCCTTAAAAAAAATAAGTCATTCTTGGCCCAGCTGCGGTGTTCTCAGTGGAAACCAGGCCCCAGGAAGGAAATGTCTCCACAGGGTGTCCCCTGAATACAGGGCATGGGCTGCTGGCTCCTGGATTGGATGTGCATTTGTGTCTCTGGGGCTGGGTGAATTTCCAGAGAGGTGCCCAGGTGTCTAGGGCCAGGGAAGAGTCAGATGGGATGGGGCTGGCTGTACCTGGGGAAGGCAGCATCTGTGTTGCCTGTTTCTGTGGCTCACTTGGGAACCAGGAATATCCCAGCTGCCTGGGTAGAATAGATATGGGATTTGGGATACACGATGGGCCACAGTTTCACCTCTAACTTTCCACCTGCATGTAGAGTATTTTCTAGGAATTTGGGTTTGTCACAGCTCCTTTGATTCTGAGCTGGGTTCCGGGGGAAGAGCAGGCTGTGGCTGGCCACCCACGCTGTCTCACACAATAGGCTTCTTTCTCCTTTCTCTGACCCTCTAACTCCCACCCCAGGCATGAGGGAGGATGGCCAGGAGATTGGTTCTTGTCCTGCTAGTGGGCATTCAGGGATGAGGACCAGCCAGTGCAGTCATCCTTATTTATTCCTTTCACAGAAATTTGTTGAACACCCATATGTGCCCAGCGGGGATTCAGGGGTGAACAGACAGGTAGTATGCCTGCCTTCAGGGAGCCTTCTTTCTAGTGGCAGGCAACAGGCAATGATTTGAAATAAATAACCAAGACAGTATTCGATCCTATGTGATGTGAAAGAAATACAACAGGGTGATATGACAGAGAACATATGTGCGGGGGGTGGCAGGGGTGGCCCTAGATTAGGAGGCCAGTGAAAGCCACCCTGGGGAGAGGACAGCCCAGTGAGGCCCGAAGGATGAAAAGGAGTCAGTGGCACAAAAATGAAGAAAGGCCAGCAAATGAAAAACTGTTGAGGCCAGAGCAGAGTTTACAACAGCAGGGGTGCTGGAGGGGGAGACTAGAGAGATCAGGAGTGCAGAGCCTGGTCACAGGGACCTGCTGCACTGACCGGTTAGGAGCCTGGATTTTATGGCCAGGGCGATGGAAGCCATTGGAGAGCTTTAAGTAGGGGAATGACATGATCTGATTTATGGTTTTTAAAGATTATTTGGTACACAAGAAATGGTAATCAGAGTTGCCCCCGGGGGGGGGGGATGGCTGAGGGATGGGATGGCGGAAAGATGGTGTTTTCACTGTAGACTCTTTTGTCCTTTCTTACTGTGCCAAGTGCATGTATCAACTCTACACACCGCCCCCCCCCAAACCCAAAGCAAAAAGTGTTGTTAAAAGAAAATAGTTTATAACCTGGAAAGTATATAATAAAAGATACAGTGTCGTACCAGTTTTGTAAAGATAAGTATATTAGACGCATGTACGTCATGTATACATAGAAAACTAGGCGGCTGCCTTTTTACAGAGGTTAATTCTAGATATTAGACATAGGGTGATTTTTACTTCCTTTTTGTATCTTCGGTTGATTTTTCCAGACTTGTACAATGGTCACGAACTGCTTTTATAAGTGGGAAAAAATGTAAAAAAAGATTGCTTCAGCTGCTAAAGAGAGGATAGCTTGAAGGGGAGCAAGGACAGAAGCAGAGGCCTGCTAGGAGGCTGATTCTGAATCAAAATGATGTGTTGGATTAGGATGGGCCAGCAGGAAATTGTTTTGGAGGTAGAGCCAACAGGTCTCACTCACTCGCTATTGCCTGATATGATGCTCTGCTCTTGCCTAGATTTTGTAGTCAGAAATGACCATTGTACAAGACTGGAAAAATCAACCGAAGATACAAAAAGGAAGTAAAAATCACCCTATGTCTAGTATCTAGACATGTCTAGGCCCATAGCATCAGTGATGGTGAAGGACCATTTCCAACGCTTCCTTGGCTTTGGAAATGACTCAGATTTCAGCTACATTCTTATCCCCATCTTAACTTCTGGTAGGGATGGGGGTCCGGGGCCCCTCCCAAATGTTTTGCTACTTTGATAATTAGCAGATTCAGGGCAACGTGATGTACCCAAGTGAGAAGGATTTAGAGCTGGGTCGGGCATGTGCAGTACATAACATCTCTGAGCCTCCACTTTCCCATCTGTGAAATGGGACAATAACAATGAGAATCCCTGTCTTTTAGAACACAGAAGGCTCACATCTGATCATGTCTGATCACGTCTGCAGTAGGGCTCCATGAATGGTAAGGCTCTGGAGTCAGCTATTGCCAGACAAGTGTTTGCTTGGGCTAAACTTGATTCTATAAAGGTTTTCTCCTCTCTGGTGGTGCTTTGAGATTGTTCCCTTTTGGGAAGCTCCCTGAGTAGGTCACCAGGAAGCTAAAGCTGAAGCTGATGCCTCTGGAAAAAGTGGAATTCAAATGCAGCTGTGCCCGTGTGCCCCTCCCCCAGCCCACATTCAGGGGTGAAGCTGAGTGTTTGCAAAGGGCTGTGTGCTGGGAAGGCCTGGCCAGGCCCACAGTAAATCGTGCTTTGAATGGGAATTATTTCTGTGCTCAGTGTTTGCTTAGAAGGGCTCACTCCTGCCAGAACTCACTGTGATCCTCACCTTTTGCTGGTTCCTTTCCTGGAACCCAGATGTGGTAGCCAGGTAGGCTGTCAGTGCCTAGTGCCAGGCGGGGCACCAGGGCCCATGAGGATCACTCTCATGGCTCCTGCCATCTCCCTGTTTCCAAACAGAAAGACATGCCCTGGATGGGAGTCTTTGCCTAGGCAACCCCATTTTGAAAATTAAAAAAAAAAATTATGATTGATTGATTGATTGAGAGAGAGAGAGAGATTGAGGTTTTGTTGTTACACTTATTTATGCATTCATTGGTTGATTCTTGTATGTGCCCTGACAGGA